AAGTTTTTCTCTCATCGCTGTAGCCGCCATGAAGAGTAGTAAAACTAAATAATTGAATTATTTATAAGTAAATATTGATTAATTTCTATTCGTTCTTTTCATATTAGAAGTTTAGATCTAATAATCTAAAATTTATTTGTAAATATATATCTTTTAAGATCTTTTTTATATAGAATAAAAATAAAAAAATATATATATCTTTAATGCTTACTACCTAAAGATAAATTACTCTCTCAGGTTATAATATCCAATTCTGTAAAAATAAGCTTTTTATCTACAGAATTAGAAGATCCTGTATCAAGCTATAATAATGTTAATTATGATAGTGACCATAATGATGACTATAATAATGATGACCATGCTTGTGATAATAACAGTACTAGTAGCAAATGAAAGTGAAGTGTGGGACTTTTTTAACAAGGTTGTTTGGCAAAAGAAAAAAAAATAGCTAAATGTAAAAAGTGTTCAAAAAAAGAATTTTCTTGTGCAAGTAGTGGCGCAACTACTATATTATGACATCATATAGAAAGTGCTCATAAAGCACAGTATGCTATGACAGAAGAATATCACAAAAAAAAAAAGAAAATGCAAGATGAACATAGTACTATTAAAGAGTTATTCAAAAAAGTAGATTCATACTTTTCAAATTTTTTTTTTTTTTTTTTTTTAGATTAATCTAATTAAAAAAAAAACTAAGACTTCTAAAGATTCCTCTACTACGATGTTAGCTGAAATTGATAATATGAAATTTCGTAATATGTTTGCCACCTGGATTATTAATCGTCAACACCTATTTGCTATAATTGAGGATCCTGAATTTGTCAAAATTATACAGTACTTGAATCTCAAGGCACAATTAGTTAAAGCAGATGCAATTAAGAATACAATTATGTCACTTTATAACTTAGAAAAACAAGAATTGAAGGTAAATCTCATAATTATATTTATACAATCGATACTCTTTAAGTGCAACTTCTTTTTAAATACAACTTCAATTCTGGCTCAGTATATGTTTGATCTCTATAAATGCAAATTTTCTTAATTATTTTTTAAGCGCATATTGTTAAAAGTCTGGTTTCAACAAATTGCACTTAGAGAATTAAAAAAAATTATAGTAATCAGATTATTTGAATTATATATATGAAATTGTAGTTTATAATAAGATAGACTAATTTAATTCGGTAGTTTATATTATATTCTTTTCTCAAAAAAGGAGGGGAAGGGAGAAAAAAATTTATGTATGCATAGTAAATTTTATAAAAAATTTTTTCAGATCAAAAAATTTCAGCTTAGCCTTGCTCGCCTTTTGTGTTCATTCATTTTCTTTTCAGAATTATATTATGATTGTTATAACTGGAATAATAAATATATTCTTCTAAGTACTTATATTCTATAGACATACTTTTCTTCTATAAATTCTAAGATCTTCTTCACGTCAGACCTCTGGATATCTCTCAACAACAAAGTTTTCATTTTACTTACGGCACATTATATAGATGAAGATTGGATCTTCCAAGAAATACTAGTTGATTTTGGGTTGTTAAACAAAAAATATGATGGAATAAATATTTCAAATAGATTCTTTAGCATACTAAAAGATTATAAGATTGCATCAAAGGTAGTTATTTTATAAAAATCTTATTTTTTTTGTATTTTTTACTAATCGCAATTAATTAAGTATTGAATGTCACGCTTCAAATGCTATTTGAAATTACTTATATGATTTATATATACTACTCATCAAATTGTATAATAGTTTCAAATAGCATTTTGAAGTATGCTATTCTTTTTTTTATCAACTTCTTGGCATCACCCTTGATAATGCTGCAAATAATGGTATCTTTGTTTGTGAATTAGAAATGAAGTTAAGAGAAAAAGTGAACTTTAAATGGAATTCAGAATATCTTCAATTTCACTGCTTTAATCATATTCTTAATTTGGCAGCACAAGCAGCTTTAGAGCAAAAAAAGGAATATATTTGCAAGATGTTAATATAAATCTTATAAAAGCTAATTACCATAATTTTTTTTTATTATACTAATAAAATAACAATTAAGATTTGAGATCTCAATACTTCTATTCATACAACACCTCAATGTTTTGAGCTTTTTGAAAATTCATATAATGCCTATAATATCAAATTTTATAAACCTATTCTGGATTGTCCTACTAGGTAGAACTCTACTTATAATATGATCAAAAATAGACTATCTTTTAAGCCAGTAAGTCATATTTAATTCATACACAGTAAAATTTCTATAAGTATACCCTTTATAAATGCATACATACTCTAAATGCACATTCAAATTCAGGCCCAAATATATATATAATGGGGATTGCTAAAGTCTTATATCTACATGACTTTTAAAATTTTAATTGCAATTAGGGCTAGAGTTAGTTTAGTATTATGAGAAGGGCAAGCATATAGATAAAATTCTCTTCTTGACATTTTTTATTAATGTATTGAGACAGGTTTAGACTGCTATTTTTTATATTTTTTTATTTTTTTGATTTTTAGACTGATCTGTATAAACAGAATCTCATGATTTTGATTGATGATCTATATAAAAAAAGTCACATAGGTACAAGACTTTAGCGAACCCTATAAATGTACTTTTAGTTATATGCAAAGACAATAACTTTATACTCTGTAAAGTAGGGTATATCAAGTAGCTATCATTTACTATATATTATTTATTTCTGCTATAATGAGCTAATTTTATACAGATCAATTGCTTGGCTTCTTCTTGTTATATCTGCAAGTAGTATTTAAGATAATTTATAGTTATATTTTAGAATTAGCAATTATTACTATAACAAGTTATTATCTAATTAAGTATTAAGAGATAATTCTAATAATAAATTTTGTAAATGCTTAATTCTCTTACTAGCTCTTATAATGATCTTCATAATTATGCCATTTCATATAATCAATAGACTGCTTTAGAAGAAATCGCTAAATTTCTCAAACTGTTTAAGGATCTTATAACCAAAATATCATCTAGAACAAACTATATGGCTTTTTGGATCATTCCTCTTTTCAACATAATTCTCAATCACGTGGAAGATGTAATCTCAAATATGAAAACAAAAAGTTAATTATTAAAATTTTTATAATTTTTTATATGGGTCTTTATCTCAAAAATGGCTTTACAAATATAAATTTTCTATTTAATAACAATAAAGTTATTTTTGAATTAAAGACACGTATAATGTTTGCTTTGTATATATATAAGTGGAATTTTTTTTTGCTTATATTTAATAGTCTAGGAGATTACTATAATTTTACTTACAATATTTACTTATAAATAATTCAATTATTTAGTTTTACTACTCTTCATGGCGGCTACAGCGATGAGAGAAAAACTT